AAACGGCCCAAACGGCCCCCAAGAGGGCCCCGAGATGGCCCAGGAGAGCTCCAAGACGGCCCAACACGCGCCCAAAACGGCCCTTAAAGGCCCCAAGACAGCGCCAGGAGGGGGATCAGGAATCGAGACTTCAAGCCTCCCGCCCCAAGAAAACTCACAGGAAGCCCCAAGAGGCCCTCAACAGGCTCCAAGAGGTCCCCAGGACGCCTCCAAAAGGCCACACGAAGTCTCCGAGAGGCCTCCAAAGACCCGAAGAAGCACCCAAGAGGCCCCACAACTGCTTCCAAGAAGCCCCCCCCAGGGCCGTCCACGCGATCCCAACGAATGTACAAGAGGCCTCTGACCAACAACCCAAGCACGGTGGCGGGATGGGCTGAAGGCCATTTGATATTTGAAATCCGATCTCAACACGTATACGAAAGAACGTGTAGAAACCACCCCCTCCTAAAATTCAGGCCACGTGGAGAAAAAAGCCACTGAGTCCTGGAATCCGATCCGCCGACCCGTTTGGGGTCTCCAAACGCGCGAATTTCCCCCCCTTGAATTTCACCCGGCGGCCCGACAATCTCACGTTTGAAGAGTGACACAGGCCAAGTCCGGCTGGATGAGACCTAAGGCAATTTCGAACAACGAAGCCGCCAGAATGGCCTCCAAAACGGCCCAACATTTTTGCTTCAAACATGGCCAGGATGTCTCCAAGTCGGCTCCAGATCGAACCGAAACATCACACGGCCGCTCGAAGACGGCGCAAACACCCCCAAGGCGGCCCAGCGAAGACCCCCCAACTGCGGATTAGGCAACGCCACAAGGAGGACATAGAAACGATACTACGCAGACGGGCATGTGAAAATTTAGTCCGCCGATCACGTTTTCGTAAGCGACAACGATCACACAAGAAATGAAACGCGAACCCGCAAAAGTGGAGGCACAACTCATCCAGGGCACCCCGCAGAATGACACTGGGCACTGCACAAAAAACACACACACACAACAGCACAAACAAGGCCAGGCATGCGCCCCAAACGTCCCCACAACATGCCCGCAAGGCCCATCAACCCAGACGGCCCCAGAATGGCTGCAGAGGCACCCGAAGCCCCACCCTGGCCAATTGTATCCGCATGGCGGGCGCACCAGCTGACCGAACACAACGTGACACCGAACAACAGGACAAAACAACCAGTCGCAGAGTGCTGCCGAGATGACCATACCGAAAACTGAATACCTTGACGGACAGCAACACGCCAAAGACAATACCGAATACTAACATGTCGGCGGATGTGGCGCAAGCCTGAAGAATCCACGTCCAGAAGTGACGTGCTGAGCGGCAGCATTTTCTGCGGAGGCGATAATGCAACGTACCAAATGTATGTATTTGTTGCATACTTGCTACATGTTGTATTGTATTACATTATTATGTCTGCCCCCGAACCCCCCCAGGGGTCACGCCACATCTGTCGACCCAGAAGTGGACCCCTTCTGGGCCTGAAAACCTAAAGAACCGATGGAAAATCTATGATTCGGGACTTTTGGCCCTCTTAGGGGCCCAAGACGGCCCCAAGACGGCACAAGATGGCCTACAAAGACCCCAAGACGCCCCAAGAGGGCCCCCGGAGGACCCCCAAGACCACCTCCAGAAGCCAAAGATCATTGATTTTCCAATGGTTTTTTGAAGATTTCAGCGTTCCCGTTTTTTTTTCGGCTCTCAGAGGTCCAGGACGGCAGAAATAGCCTCCGAAGTGGCCCCCAGACGGCCAAAACGGCCCAAGAGGGCCCCCAGACAGCCCAAAGAGGCCGCCGAGATGCCCCAAGAGGCCCCCAAGAAGGCCCAAGAGTATCCCAAGCCAGTCCCCGAACGGACCAGACAGCGCAAGAGCAACCCCAAGACGTCCACACGGGGCTCCGAGAGGCCCCCAAGAGGTCTCCCAGAGGCCCCCAAGAGGCCTTCCAGACGCCCCCGCGAGAACCCAAGGCCCAAGATTTCCCAAAGAGGCCTCCAAGGGGCCCTCAAGAAGTTCCCAGAGGCACGACAACGACTGGACTGTACGTGCTCCGGGCGTGCACCCCGCGAAGCGAGAGGAATCATCCTGCAAGACGACCTCAAACAGTCCAAGAGGCCTTCGACTGCCCAGGGCCCATGAGAGCCCCAAGCTGGCCCAAGACAGCCTCAGGAGAGAGCAAAGACGGCCTTGCAGAACCCCTCGACGGCCCAAGATGGCCCAAGGACGGCCTCACGACGGCCGCAAGGTAAACCGCAGACAGCCAAGAAGGCGCAAAGAGGGCCCAGGAGAGGCCCAGACGGCCCCACAGGGCCCCAAGACGACCCAAAGTGGCCCAAGGTGCCCGCGAGACTGCCCCACAAGAACCCAAGAAAGGACGGAAGACGAGACGAGAACTCCCGACACGACCCGGAAATGTGTGTGTGTGTGTGTGTCAAATGTTGCGGCTGTCCCGAGCCTCGGGACACGAGGCGTCCTCTCGAACGATCGCCACCCGGAATGCTGGGCTGGCACACTGGCGGGACTTGCCACAGCCATCCGGTATAGGTTGCGTCATGGGTTGTGCGATCCCTGGGTGGCGCCGTTGCGCCATGGGTTTGCTCCGTCCATGGGTTACGTTAGCCGTGTGTTGCGTCACGCGTTGCCCGATCCGTGTGTTGCGCCATGGGTTGCGCCATCACTGGTTGCGCCGTAGGTTTTGAGCCATCCGCGGGTTGCGAAACACGTTGCGCCACAGATTGCACTCTCGGCGGCCGACACGTAAAAAAACTGGCTGCAACTGGCTGCACCATCAGTTGCGCACGTGGCGGCTGAAACATGAAGCTCACTGCAATTCGTTGCGCCACAGGCCGCGCCATCAGCCGCTGACGATTCAACGGCCCACTATCGGTTGCGCCATAATTAGGTTGCGCGCCCGGCCGCCAATAATGCAACGGACTCCACTTGGAAGCGCCACAAATTACGCTCTTGGCTGCCGAGAATAACACCGCCTCCTGGTTGCGCCGTGACCTGTGCCGTCTGCTGCCCAAACGAAAACGGCTGCCAAACAAGTGCGACCCGTCCGCCCAGTCATTCAGTCTAGCCAGTCTACCTCGTGAGAAACAGATTCGGGCTACGCCCAATCGTCGGATTTCTAGGGTCGCCGCCGCCAAAGCCGCCCGTCGGTGTCGTCTTCTGAAAAAACTCTCCGGGGGTCCATGTAGGCCTCCATGAGGCCTCTGGAGGCCCGAAGAGAGCCAAACCAACGCTCACAAAAACTCATCAACCCGTCATTCCCTGATATCTGGCCTCGAGAACAAAAACGCAACATCGTCAGAGCAATCGCTACACGAACCTCCGATCCCACCTTACTGCGCCATCCGACGAGCGTGATGCATCCACGAGGGTCTCTGGGCCGGGAACCAATCGAAAACGCCCGCTGTGAACACATTGCGACGGCCAGATCTCAAAGGTCGCTGGTCGGCGGCGTCGTCGTTATCGCCAGCGTGGTCGCCCTCCTGCGGCCGCCAGCAGACGCGGACACGGCGTGGAGGAGCAGCCACTGCCCGGGCACCGGGCCTGCGCAGGGACGACGACGAGGACGACGATCAAAGCGACGACCACGGCGGCAGCGACGACGACTCATCCGACCTCCCGCCCTCCCTCTCCTACAGTGGAGGCCCGACAGCAAGAACCCTTCCACAAGAAACCCAACCCTGAGACCCTGGGACGTCCATTGATTTCTGGCGTGGAGCGTCATGCTTTCCATCGCAGAACCATCGAAACCCAAGAGACCCAGGGCACCCTGGAGGCGAGCAGGGTGTTTCCTGGCATGGGCCCCCACTGCACCTCTCCTCCATTCTCTCTCCCCCTGCTGCTGTTGCTCCCCCCCCCTTCTGCGCCTGCAAAATATGTCAGCGGTGCTCTCCTCTCTCCCCCGACCTTGTTCCCCAACCCTGTGCCGCCTCTCCAGAGCATGCTTTTGGCGTGCTCCCGCTGCAGACCTTGCCATACGGGGCGCTCATTACTAATTCTGGTCAATTCTATTTCCGGTCATTTCCACTTCCGGCCACGAATTATAAACGAGAGGTGCCGACTGGATGGGGTCGGCAGCGTTGTGCCCTCGAATTCGAAATGAGCGCTCTGTGCCTCAGGACCGGTGCTTCGCCCCCCTTGCTCGGAGTGGCGGTCCCACCTGGGCGTGGGTCACACGTTTGGCTCCGATTCCTTCCTCGTCGCTGTCGCCCCCTCCTTTCCCCTCCTCCGAGTCCCGCTGATCCTCCTGCTTCTCCCACTCCCGAGTCATCCTGCTCGTGCTGCTGCTGATCATCGCGCTGCTGCTGATCATCGCTCTCCCTTTTTGTTTGTTGTTGTTTATTTTCTTCTTTACGAGGCGGAGCAACTGCGTGCCTGAACCGTGACCGGCGTTACAAGCAGGGGTAAGGGCCGCCAGCGCGCTCGGCTGCTGCTGCTGCTCCCGGTGCAAGACAGCATGAGGGAACTAGGGGCAGGATGCGTTATCCACAGTTGCCATCGCAGTCGCATTGCTGCAGTCCCAGCGCGACCTAGAAAGTGTAACAGCCCTGCGGCTGAGGTGGTTGGTCTCTTGCCTGTGCAACTGGGCAGGCAGGAGGAGGAATAATTGAAGCAAGGGTGGAACAGCTTGCACTGGTTACGGACGAAAGCCACTTTGGCCCCGGCCGCCAGAGAAGGCTCCTCGGCCGTACCTGCTGGCGTAGCGCGGCGGCCCCCTCGCGGAACGGACGATGCGCGCGACTGCACTGTGACTCTGGGGAGTCTGACTGGGCAACAGCAGTCCGGATTGGACTGGTCCGACCTACACAAACACACTCACACGATATTGGCCCACCCTCGCGGTGGAACGGTGAACCTCTGGGCGCCCCTGCTGGCAATTCTCAGTTCACTTTCAATTAGCCTGAGCGTCCTGTGCACTTTGGTTCTACGTAGGAGGGTGCGCCAGGAGGATGGGGAGTAGGAGTGGAAGCGCTCTGGCCGCCCGCGCGCTCACCTCTTCCCCTTGACCAGCTTGAGGACCTGGAATGATATCATCAGTTTGCTGTCCACTGTCATCATGGCGCCAGAATTGTCGAACTCGCCGCAGTAGTTCGGCGCGGAGAACAAAGTAATGAATCTCCTACCTGCAAAGAGTGCACGAACTGCCACGTCGAAATCGATCTTCTTGAGGAAACCCTCCACCGTGTCGGGTCCAAACGTGTAGGATACACCGCGGTCGTTGTCTTCCCAACCATTTATCTCGCTTTCAGGATCCGCCCACAAGAAATCGCACATCAATCCGCAATCTGGCACGTCCAAAGGACCTCCTATGCTCTTCACCTGGTCTAGTGTCTGCATCTCCGGGGAGAGCCCACCGTGCAAGCAGAAGATCTTGTCATCGATCACCGCACAGAGGGGGAGCCCGTTGAAGGCATCGACACAATGCTTCCAAATCTTGTTGTATCGACGCTTGCACCCATCATAAAAGCCGTAGATCCAGGTGATGGCTGCACATTCATCGTTGCCGCGTAACATAAAGAAGCTTTCATCATACAAAATCTGCTATACGAGCGACAGGATGATCGTTTCGACGGACTGCTTTCCACGGTCGACGTAGTCGCCCAAAAAGAAGTAGCTGCTTTCTGGCGGGAACCCTCCCATTTCGAACATGCGCAACAAGTCGTGATACTGCCCGTGAACGTCTCCGCACATTTTGATCGGTGCCTCCAGGTCAAGGTACGAATCCTGTGACATGAAGATCTCTCCGACCACGTGGCATATCTGCCTGACTTCGACCTCCGATGGTAACTTGATCTTGGCGCTGGGTCCTTTGCCCTTTGCTTTCGTCATATACTTCACAATGCCCTCAAAATCGATGTCTGAGTCCTCCATGCGGCACTCGTGGATGACCATCAATGCTAGGTCCAGACCAAGAGTGCATGGAAAGCGCGCCTCAATCTGCCAGACAGTTTGCTCGAGCCATCACTACTGGAGCACCTGGGCTTGAGCCAAAATGGCTACGGAGCTGATCATCGCTCTCCTTCATCATCATCCTCTTCCTTCTGCTTATCCTTCTGTTCGTCCACCACCCCCTGCTCCTCCAATGTAGAAGCCCCCTTTTTCGGATTGCGCATCGCACGATGAACACACGTATCCCAAACAGGTAAGCACAATGAGAGGGCATCAGTGGGAGGTGTAGGATGTCAGATTTGGTGCGAGCGCACCCAGCTTGCGTCCTCTCTCATCTGTCCTCTCTCCTCCTGTCTCCTCCTGCTCCTGCTCCTGCTCCTGCTCCTCCTCCTCCTCCTCCTCCTCTTCCCTCCCTCGCACCATCCCTCCCTTCTCCCCGTCCTTCCTTCACAATGCCTGAATCGCCGCCCTCTGCCATCCGCTGCCGTCCTCCTCGTCCTCCTCGTCCTCCTCCTCCTCCTCGCCCTCCTCCACTCATATCCCTTGTAGATAGCTCCTCCCTGTCGCACCCCGAAGCTGGTCGAAAGAGCGGGCCGGGCGTTCCGCCTGAGACATCCTCACCTTTTTTTATGACACTGGTGCTTAACAATGGTAACAGCTTCACACATGGAGGGCAGGTCATTTTCAAAATGTGGCTCTCGGCTTAGCGCCGCGCGCATTCGTTCTTAAAACTTGCCAGAGCTTCGCGGATTGAGGTCTGGTGGTTTTCACAATGTGGTTCTCGCCTTACCACCTCGTGCATTTTAAACGTAAAAACTGCAGACGCTTCACGGATTGAGGGCGGGTCGTTTTCAACATGTGGTTCTCGCCTCAGCACCGCGCGCATTCGCTCTAGCATTTTGCAAGAATTTCATTGGTTAATGGCGGGCCGTTTGCAAGATGTGCCGCTTGCTTTTGCGCCGCAGACCTTTTTTTGTAAACGTTTGCAATAGTTTCACTGATTGAGGGTGGGTCGTTATCAAAATGTGGCTCTCGCTTGGGCGCCGCTCACATTCGCTTTTCAAAAACTGTGCAAGAGCTTAAACGGTTTGAGAGCGGGTCTTTTTCAAACTATGGCGCTCGCCTAAGCGCCGCGCGCATACGTCTAGACAAGTTCACAGCGTTTCACTGATTGAAGGCGGGTCCTTTTCAAAATCTTGCTCTTGACTTAACACCGCGCACATTCGTTTTAAGAATTTGCAGAAGTTTCGCTGGCCCTCATGGTTAGCGTAATTTAAGCGGTGTTTGGGAACGATTCAGGATTGTCAGGGAAATACAGTTACGTTAGTTCGTGGTGTTGGAATCCCAAGACATGTTCTGGCACGATTCGGGATTGCCAAGATGTAGCAGTCAGGCTAACTCGTGGCGTTGAAATCCTGACAATGTTGTTTGGCACGATTCAAGGTGCTCACACGGTTGTCCCCCAGCGGGGCAATTCCGTGAGCGGATCTGACTCCTTGTAGAGGCCTATGAAAAGGGATCTTGGAGGGAGGGTGTATTTCAACATCGTTGATGAATCTTGGGTTTGCGCTGGTCCTTCTCTTCCTGCCCCTCCCCAATCCAATTTTCTTCTGCATAACTCCTTCCTGTCGCACCCCGCGGCTGGTCGAAAGGGCGGGCCAGGCGCTCCGCCTGAGAATTGCTCACCACTTATGACCCTGATGCTTGAAAGCCGACAGCAGCTTCACATATGGAGGGCGGGTCGTTTTCAAAATTGGGCTCTCGCCCCAGCGCCGCGCGCATTCGTTTAAAAAACTGCGTCAGAACTGCAAGGATTAAGGGCGGGTCGTTTTCAAAATGTGGTTCTCGCCCTAGCGCCACGAACATTTGTGATAGAAACTTGCAAAGCCCTCACGGATTCAGGGCGGGTCGTTTTCAAAATGTGGCTCTCGCCCTAGCGCCGCGCACATTCGTTTCAAAGACATGCAAGAGCTTCGCGGATTTGGGGCGGATCGTTTTTGAAAATGTGGCTCTCGCATTGGCGCCGCGCGCATTCGTTATAACAACTTGCAAGAGCTTCGCGTATTGAGGGCGGATAGTTTTCAAAATGTGGCTCTCGCCCCAACACCGCGCACATTCGTTTAAACATTTGAAAGAGTTTCACGGGTTGAGGGTGTTTGTGTTTCAAAATCAAGCTCTCGCCTTAGCGCCGCGCGCACCCTTTCAGAACACTTACAAGCGTTTCGCGGCTTGAGGGCGGGTCGTTTTCAAAATGTGGCTCTAGCCCTAGCGCCGCGCACACTCGTTTTGAAACATGTCCAGGGATTCCACGGATTGAGGGCGGTTCCTTTTCAAAATGTGGCTCTCGTCATAGCGCCGCGCACCCTCAAAAAAGTGAAATTTCACTGGTTCTCATGGTTAACGTGTTGATGTCCCAGGAACGGCGTTCTGGCACGATTCAGGATCGCCAAAACGTAACAGTCAGGTTAACTCGTGGCGTTGGCACTTTTCAAAATGCTCACGTGGCTGTCCCCCAACGGGGCAGTTCCCTCAGCGGAAATGACCCCTTGTAGGGGCCTGTGAAGAGGGATCTTGGAGGGAGGGTGTAAATCAACATCGTTGATGAGTCTGGTGTTGACACTGGTCCTCCTCCTCCTGCTCCTCCTCCTCCTCCTTTCCCTCATCCTCCTCCTCCGCCTCCTCCTCCTCCGCCTGCTCTTCCTCCCCCTCCTCCTCCCCCATCTCCTCCTCCTCCTCCTCCTCCTCCTCCTCTTCTTCCAACTCCTCCAACTCCTCCAACTCCTCCTCCTCCTCCTCCTTCTTCTCCTCCCCCTCCTCCCCCTCCTCCTCCTCCTCCTCCTCCTCCTCCTCCTCCTCCTCCTCCTCCCCCTCCTCCTCCTCCTCCTCCTCCTCCTCCCCTCCCTCCCTCCCTCCCTCTCCCTCCCTCCCTCCCTCCCTCCCTCCCTCCCTCCCTCCCTCCTCCCCTCCCTTCCTCCCTCCCTCCCTCCCTTACTCCCTCCTCCTCTTCCCTCCCTTCCCGTCCTGCCTTCACAGCGCGTAAACTGCCGCCTGCTGCCACCTGCTGCCATCCGCCGCCAATGCCTTGCACTACCGTCCGCCACCGAGGCCACCCATTCGTCCACTGCCGCCCGCTATCGCCGCCCGCAATCGCCGCGCACCGCCCTCCCGCCCAGTGCCCGCCCGCCTGCCGGCGCCCGGGAGGGGTCCAGCCACGCAGCCGCCTCGGGGGGCACGGGCGCAGCGATGGTGGATCCAAAGCAGGGAGCTCGGACTCGGACTCGGCTCCGCGCGTGGCGGGATTGAGCTGAGATGAGGGGGGTGGCCAGGAACTAGATCCCGGCTGTCCAGAGAAACTGTCCCACCCCAGCGAAGGGTTAGACCTCGAGATATCGATTTTCAACCGCCCTCATGCCTGCAAAAGGTCCGTCGAGATTTGCTCGGCCAACCGCGAAGGCGCGGCGGAGGGGGCGCCGACTCGCCAGCATAGAAATCGGCAAAAACGTGCGCGTGTGAAAAACTGCATGGGAAGCTTCAGAAGAGGAGCAACAACAATTATTTCAAGACTGTTCGCTACCATGTGCTCGCGTGTCACGCAACATGCATATCCGAAGCTCTCGATGCCCGCTCTCCTAGCCTTCGATCGTGCCTTGGGGGTCTATTTTCCTCACCTGTCACTTGTACTTGGCGCAGAAGGAAGGGAGGAGGTGAAATGACAAGGGGTAGAGTCGGCCTTCATTGGGCAGGACACGCGAGAGGACACAAGACCCTTCCGAGGCCCACATCGCCATAGGAGTGTAAGAAGGCACGTGCCGCGAGGCACAGGACACAAGGGTATCCTTGAGCTGGCAAGGTCGACCTACTAGTCCGGGCCGACTGTAGGGAGAAAGATGGAGCACGAGAACGTTTGGCAGAAGGGGGGTTTAGGAGCAGGAAAGCAAGCGGCAGAACCAGACGGGCGAGTCGGGCGGGCGCTCCCCAATGGGCGGGTCGGGCGGGCCCAGGTGGCCGCGTCTGGCGAGCGGGTCGCTGAAGCGCTGAAGCGCCAGTCCTGAATGGATCGCGAGAATGTCTCTCGCGATGGCGCGACTCCCATGTACATCGTGAGGCAGGGCGGGGCCAGAGCGTGATTCCTGAGTGTCGAGGGCGTGGCGTCTCAATAAGTTGCATGGCAGTCCCACGCGAGAGCGCAATTCTTGCGTAAATTGTGAGGGCGTCCTGCGCGTGAGCGCGGTTCTTGAAATACAGTTGTGTAGGAGTATCAGGCGGGGAGCGTTGTTGTTATAAACTGGGGGCGAGGGGCGCAGCCTGAGCTCCAAGACTTGTATGATAGAAACATATTGCGAGCCCTGGGAAGGAGCACTGCGCTTGAAACGATATGGGCACCAGGGAAGGGGGAACTATGCGGAGTTCAGAGGCACGTAGGGGGAGGAGGAAGGAGGAGAGGAGACGCGGGGTGCTGTCTCTTCAAAACGAGGACCGAACATAGGATGGTTGGGAAAAACAGGGTGCGAGCCCCAGGAAGGGGCACTTCAGTTGCAAAACGCAGTGGGCAATGGAGGTGGGGGATCACCACTATTTCTTCTTCAGAAGTGGAGGCTAAACAGCAACAGTCATTCCAATGCTGTTCGCTCCTGCTGCTCAGGCGTCAACTAGCATGTATATCCCAGCCCCTCGATACACGCCCTCTTCGTCTTCCATCGTGCCCACCTTGGGGGTAGAACTCTCTTACAAAGACATAAGTTTATAATAAAGATATGATTGGGAACCTACATTTAATCGAACTACTTCTGGGCACTCATAACATGTTAACTTGATCCGAATTGAACACCTATACCGAACTTGAGGTCGTATCGCAAACGCATAGTTACTTGGGTTCCTACTTGCTTCCACTTGGGTTCCTACTTCGATGTTGATCGACAGCTTAGATTTGAATCGAATCCCGACTGGAACTCTTCATTGTAAATGTGTTCCTATTGAGCACCAATGGTATACTTGCATGTCTA